GGGGAGGGGGACGGGCCCTAAATGGGCATGCTCTAAAAAAGAACCGGTCGTCGATTGACGATGACTCTTTTCTTAGGAGAGTACAACGACTGGCACAAGTTCTCTCGCTAGAAACCTACATTGATGGATTTTTTTTTTTACAACTGAGCGACTGACATCCCCTTTGACTTGTCAATGGAAATCAAGATCCGATGGTGCTCTATTTCATCTAAACCTCAGCTAAAGGGTTGCGGGCCATGGAGAGAGAGGGGGGGCATTTAACCTATGGGCTCCACTTTTTCCTCTGGAAAAACTTCCCTCCAGAACTTTTGGCCTGCGAATCTGCACACGATGGTCGGCTGGCTCATGCGAGAGTAGACATCATATTAAAACCCTTTAGGGTGGGAAGATCATGAAATCCGACGGCCGAAAGCGTGCTGGTCATGAGAGGGATAGGAGAGTGCCCGGTTTTAATAAACACTCCGCGATATTTGCAAAAAAACAGGGGTGGGTTCGCTTCTCAACCAGAAATTGAAATTGTAAAATCTTCTGTCTCCATGTGAAATTACGCAATTGTTTCTTAGCAAAGCTTACAGTCTCCCTACTGGCGATACTAATATGAATAAATTAATAAAGACCAGACCGAACCAGATAAACAGATACTCCATCTAAATAATATAAGAGCGGTTAGATCACTACTATGTAGGGAGTACTCACCATGCATGCGGCCCATCTACTCACAGCTAGTACTCTCCGCGCCTATTGCAGCAGTCCATAGCCTCTATATATATACAACACTGGTTATATTTTTTTCACTTGCGATTTTTAGTTCATATTTTTGTTTTCGACTTCTTCTCTACTTTTACAACATCTCTACAAATATATTGGGAAAACTAATTTTAGTTTTTATATTTCATTATTTATAAGATGATAAAGTGTAAAAGTGAAAAACACATTCCATGTGGTATAGTGTATTTCAAAATCATTCATCACGTATTAAAAATGTAGTGGTCACATATTTCACAAAATATACATCATGTATTGAAAAATATGCACCTCTTATTCAAAACATGTTCATCAATGTATTCTAAAAAGAATCTTCACATATTTCAAAACTGTCCATCACGTATTAAAAAAGTTGTCACCATGTATTTAAAAGATGTTTCTCGTGTATTTGAAAAATATTCACCATTTATTTTGAAAATGTTCATTGCATGTCTCATAGAAATCATGCATTTCAAAACTATACATCGTGTATTGAAAAAATGTGCACCACATATTCAAAACATATTTTTCCTGTATTCAAGAAATATTCCTCTCATATTAAAAAAATGTTCACCGCATATTTGAAATAAAAGTGCATTGCGTATTTGAAATTATGTTTTGAAAAATTGTTTACCTTATTTTAAAAAAATGGTCATCATAGATTTAATAAAAAGTCACGGCATATTGCAAAAAGCTTCATCGCATATTTATTAAATATTCACCGCATATTTCAAAAGTATTCACCACATATACAAAAAATGTGCATCACTTACTTAGAAAAACGTCAACCCTATATGAAAAAACTATGCATCACGTAATTAAAAAGTATTTTATATTAAAAATATCATGTATTATTTTATAAAATAATCTACTATCCTAAAATATATTTACAAAAGGAAATGAAAACAAAAATATTGAGAAGGGAAAATACAAGACAAAACAGATAAATTCAAAGAGATAAATGTTTATAAATGTAGTCCCGTATTCAAAATTATTTTCAACATATTCAAAAAATGTTCACCACTTACTTAGAAAATGTCCACCCATGTGGAAAAAATTGTGCATCACGTAATTCAAAAGTGTTCTTATATTTAAAAAATCGTGTATTCTTTTTAATAAATTACTTACCCTAAAAAATATTCAAAAAAGGTACTGGAAATAGAAATAATGTAAAGGGAGAAAGGCAAGAGAAAACAGATTAATTGAAAGGAATAAAAAATGGATAGATGAGAATAAAATATAAAACTAAATTAGAAAACCTTAAAAATGAAAAAAGAAAAAAAATAAATAAGAAAACTGAAGTAGAAACCCAACAAACAAAAATAACAAAAGGGGGAAGAAAAGAAAAATTGGAAAATTAAAAAAGGAAAATTGAAAACAAAACCTGAAAAAAGAATTGCACAAAGAAACAAAGTGAGAGAAAAAAACCCGCATCAATCAAAGAAGGCAACTCAAGATCATCATTTCATATTACAAAAAACAACACTTACCATTAAAATGATACAAGACTCCATTGAGCTACTAGTGATTAATACAGTAGTGAAAATTTGGCTCCTCTATTTGTACTATACATGGTGAAATTTCTGGAAACTCCTTTTGGAGCTCGGGCTCCAATGAGGCCTCCAAATTCAAATTTGCAATTTCATTGAAATTCGTATTTTTACATTTCAAAAAATTCTGAAAAAAATTACAGATATACATGAAGGCATAATACACATGTGTGTAAATTTTCAGTTCAAAATACATTAAAATGAGGGCTGTGCAAAAAATACAAATCTAGGGCTGTTTAACACATGATACTGTTCATCCTCCCAGGCCATGGATTTGTCTTTTTTTACAGGTCGCAACTCAAGGTATTTCATCATGAATTTTTACACACATGTGAGTTACATCCTACTTGCTTAGGGTCTAATTATACAGGATTGTAAAATAAATGAGGCTCAAAGATTTTGGGAGAAGCTGGGTAGGGATCGGATTCTGGAAGAATCCCCAGGCAAAAGAACTAGGCCTTAGTGAGTTCTTCAGCCCAAAACCAATTACCAATGAAGAAACCACTCTATCCCACGTAGCACATCCCCAAATGGGCGAGGCCGGGAATAGCTCAGTTTCTCTGTTCCTGCTTCGTAGAGTGCAGCATCCTGTTTTGTTTTCTTCACTTCCGTTTTTAATTCTTCATCTTTTTTCTTTTGCTTATTAAAAATGTAGTGGTAGCATATTTCAAAACATACATCATGTATTAAAAAAAATGCACCTCTTATTCAGAACATGTTCATCAACGTATTCTAAAAAGAATCTTCACATATCTCAAAACTGTCCATCACATATTAAAAAAAAGTTGTCACCATGTATTTAAAAGATGTTTCTCGCGTATTTTAAAAATATTCACCATTTATTTTGAAAACGTTCATTGCATGTCTAAAAAAAACCATGCATTTTAAAACTGTACATTGTGTATTGGAAAAATGTGCACCACATAGTCAAAACATATTCTTCCTGTATTCAAGAAATGTTCCTCACATATTAAAAAAATCTTCACCACATATTTGAAAAAAAGTGCATTGCGTATTTGAAATTTTGTATTGAATTTTTTTTACCGCATGTTAAAAAAATGGTCATTATAGATTTAATAAAAAGTCACGACATATTGCAAAAAGTTTCATCGCGTATTTATTTAATATTCACCGCATATTTCAAAAGTATTCACCACGTATACGAAAAATGTGCATCACTTACTTAGAAAAACGTCAACCCTATATGAAAAAACTGTGCATCACGTAATTCAAAAGTATTTTATATTAAAAATATCATGTATTATTTTATAAAATAATCAACTATGCTAAAACATATTTACAAAAGGAAATGGAAACAAAAATATTGTGAAGGGAAAAGACAAGACAAAACAGATAAATTGAAAGAGATAATTGTTTATAAATGTAGTCCCATATTATAAATTATTTTCAACATATTCGAAAAATGTTCGCCGCTTACTTAGAAAATGTCCACCCCATGTGGAAAAAATTGTGCATCACGTAATTGAAAAGTGTTCTTATATTAAAAAAAATCATGTATTCTTTTTAATAAATTACTTATCCTAAAAAACATTCAAAAAAGGTACTGGAAATAGAAATAGTGTAAAGGCAGAAAGGCAAGAGAAAAGAGATTAATTGAAAGAAATAAAAAATGGATAGATGAGAATAAAACATAAAACTAAATTAGAAAACCTGAAAAATGAAAAGAGAGAAAAAGAAGAAATAAGAAAACCGAAGAAGAAACCCAACAAACAAAAATAACAAAAGGGGGAAGAAAAGAAAAGTTGCAAAATTAAAAAGGAAAATTGAAAACAAAACCTGAAAAAAGAACTGCACAAAGAAATAAAGTGAGAAAGAAGAAAAAAACTGCATTAATCAAAGAAGGCAACTCAAGATCATCATTTCATTTTACAAAAAACAACACTTATACCATTAAAATGATACAAGACCAAAGATGACCTAACATAAATACTAATCGACCCTTTGTATTCATCAAAATTAAACGAGTTACGTGTATTTCTAACCCATCAATTTCCTCTTTCTCCGACTCACGTATCACAGTGAGTTTCATGCGCCCACCAAAAAACGTCCCCAATAAACCCCATCAGAAAAGCTCGGGTCGTGGAATTTGGCGTGAATGCCCAATCTATTACGCATGTATTTGACCGCATATTTGAAATTTTGAATACACCTTGTACACGTACGATCTTGCATCCATTGAATCTATGAACTCTGAGCAGACTCCATTGAACTACTAGTGATTAATAGAGTAGTGAAAATTTGGCTCCTCTATCTGTACTACACATGGTGAAATTTCACCATTCCTTTTGTCTTAGTTGTGTCATATATATGTTGAGTTTCATATATGCCAACCAAGCAGTAGACTCCATCTCAAGAGCGTCTGTTGCCAGATTCGACGACCGCTGCATACCCTGCTGGATGATGTATTCATCTCTGAATTTTGAGATGGCTCCATGGATTAGTAGAAGTAATAAATTTTTGGCTCTAGAAGTTGAGGACGCTGCTGGCGTAGTAGGGAGACAAGCAGAGGCCCTCCATCCAGGGGCTCCTCAGCTGCGTCAGGAACGGGTCCTGCATCCACTCCAGCCCGCCCCTCGCCGTCTCCAGCTGCGGCAGCCGCATCGCCTCCGGCCTCGCCACCGCCACCGCCACGGCCTCCTCCTTCTTCACCCCGTGGTGCTGCACGGCGGCCTCGTGGGCGACCTCGGACGCGGACGAGACGTCGGGCGAGCCGGCGCTGCAGTGGGAGAGGGAGCGCGAGGCCGTGGCGGTGGGCGGGGAGGAGCGCGCGCGCGCGAGCTCCTCCATGGCCACCCGCTGCTCCAGCTCCTTGAGCGACACGGCCTTGCGGTACACCTTGCAGAGCACCACGTCCTGCTGCTCGCCGGCGCCGGCGCCGGCAAGGTCGGGCAGCCGGTACTCGTTCATGACCCAGTCGGTCTTGGTGCCCCGCGGCGCGCGGCCCTGGTAATAGACGAGCGTCTTCTTGAGCCCGACGAGGCGCTTGGGGTCGGCGGCGCAGCGCACGGCGCGGTCGGACCCCGTGGCCTTCCAGAACCCGCGCTCCGTGGTGCGGCTCGGGCGCCCGCCGCCGCCGCCGCCGGACGCCGCGTGCTTCCGGGCGCCGTCGCGGGGCACGAGGAAGTACCACTCCCGCTCGCTGGCGATGGCGGCCAGCCCCGGGAGGTCCCAGGGGTCGTGCCGGTACAGGTGCACCGTGGGGATGATGTCGAACGGCGCCGCCCTGAGGTGCTGCTGCTGATTCTTGTTGCTGTTGCTGGTGACGTGGTGCTTGAGGTAGAACTCGAGCAGCTCCTCCTCCGTGGGGTGGAACCGGAACCCCGGCAGCTCCAGCGACGGCGCCGCCGCTCCTCCTCGCCGCTCCATCTCGATCAGATGAGCTAGCTAGCTTGGGTAGATTGATTCCAGTGTGGTAAGCAGAGCAGAGTTGTTGGTTGTTGGATGAATGTGTTGGGAAAGAGCAGAGGATGCTCGCAGCATATATAGGCCGGCGGTGAGGAGGGAAATGGGGTCTCCATCCGTCCAAATTCCAAGTCTCCGCATGACTTTTACTGGCCAAACTGCGGACAGTGAGTGAGTGTGAGTGTGTGTCGACTTGGAATTCTTAACTGGTAATTTGTGCTGATTAATTGACCGGGGGTTAAGTTTGGATAGCTACCTACAAGGTGTGAGTGTGATCTCTGTATGTATATGTGATTAGTTAACTGCCAAGTTGGGTAATGGTGGTTTGTTTAGTGGTGAAAAGCTATAGGAACCAATGGTCTGCATCTACTGTTGTGGATGTAGTACCTTCTAGTACCTTACCTGTGATCTCATCTCAAGTTGATGATGTATAAGGCTTTAAAAAGGGGTTAATTAAGAAAGGAAATTGGTAGGAGTACTTGTGTTTGTGTGTGGTGGTTCCCTGCTAAAATCCACTAAGCTTTACATCATGAAGTTTCCTCGTAGCTAATCCAAGTTAGTGAGAGAATCATGATTGGTCAACCACTGTGGAGCAATCCACACAGTAAATTTGACTTTGAATCAGAAATTTGCGATATTTTTTTAATTTTGGACATTGCGAATACATTTTAGGTTAATAAGCAACACTGCCCACAAAAGGGCTAATGCATGGCAAGTTGTCGTAGAAGCATAGCAAAGATTGGGCTCAATGTCAATTTTCATTCCATGTAAAGCAGATCATCGGAATTGAATTCTGTTTTTTTTTATCCTAGCACAAATCAAACAAGGTCTATAGAAATAGATCTAAAGGATGTAATCCTCCAATATTCTTATTTTAATCACGTTCACCCTTGATGGTGAAGATTTTCATTTTGAGAAATACACCACAAACGTAGACATTCATATACACGCACGCACAGTCACCCCAATAAACACACACATGTACACTCTCTCACGTGAGCACCTTCGAGAGACTGAGCCAGCAGGCACGCCACAAATATCCCTGAAAAGCATGTAATAAATTCAGGACAATGCGACCGCCTGTGTGAAGTCTAGGACTTGAACCCGCAAGGGCACATTCCACCATAAGGAACCTAGGCATCTCAGTTCGTTTAATGGCGATGGTTAAAAGGATAAATAGAAAGGAAACTAATTAGAAGGTATAGGTTGTGTTTTGTGTAGTGCTCCCCTGTTCATGCCCTCTATGCTAGCCTTTGTTCTTTTTGTCTATTTTCATCTGGCTAGACAACCCGTGTTTCTGTGCGTTTGTGACTTATTTTTATATACTTACTTATAATAATGAAACAAGTTTCACAGCCCCCCCTGACAGCAACCATCGTAAGTTTGTGATTATGGAGAATATGTATGTGTACGGAGCAGCATCCTTAAACAGAGATTTACAGGAGCCGCCCTCCCGTATAATATGTATGTGTACGGGCGGTCGTGGAAGAATTTAGAAATCAATCAAGCGTTGCAGAGTAGTTAAATAAAACTTAGGCGAGTCACCATTCAAAAAATAATCAGGCGATCGTGTGATTGGATAATTAGAAGATTTAGCACAGCTAATCGGATTGGGCTGACGTCGCTCTCAAGAGGCATCGGCCGAATAATAATCTCGGACCTGCAAAGTATAGTAGTGGTATATTCCAAGAAGCCACTCACTCTTGACCCTAGGTCAATCCTTTCGCAGCCATACTTCTTTCATGAAAAAGGGATGCGGCTAAGCAAAAATAAATAAGCTGTTGAACACAAATCTTTGACCTGTTTATCTTGATCTAGGCCAGTGCTAATATTTTATCAGGAAAAAACTGCTTAAAAGCACAACTGCTATATGTAATTGGACTGAAATTGTATTGGATAAATCACTTTTGTAGGGGGGTGAATGGTTGGAAGAGGAAGAAAGCTAAAGGAAAAAGGACAAATGTTAGATCATTTAATCTAATAGCCCAGAAAATTGACTTACCCAAAACAAAATTTGCTCTTAGCCTGGCAATCCTCCATGTGACATGGTAGTCCGGCCTATCGCAGCACAACATATTCCCAGACATGTGGTCGAATGTTTTGCTTTTAGCCTGACAATTCTCTATATTGTATCATGGCAAATCCCTTAACCACGTGGCGATTTGCTCTGCCGCGGCATGGCAAAGTCGTGAGGATTCTTTCTGCTAGCATGCAATTTTTTTTTCTTTTCAACATGATAAATATTTCTGTTATACCATGACAATTCCTAAACGTTCATTGAGTGGTTTTCTAGGAACACTCTTCAATAGCGCGTTTGCTTAAACAAACCTATTAGACCTTGTACAATGCAAGGTGTCTAGGAGAGGTGTTTGAAGAAATAAACCAAGCTTTTTTTAAGCGCCGGTGCTTATTTGTACAGGACAGACACTGATGCTTCATCAAAAAACCAGGTTTATTTTTCTAGTCACCTCCGTGGACACCTAGCGTCTTATAGAGATTTGGGTGGCCGTCAGCTCGTACGTTAGTGGCGTCTTTTTTATTCACTTCCACCATTAGTACAGCTAATCAGGACAGGCATTTTTTTTTAGAGGACGTGAGGCGAGTTTGTGACTGGATAATTACAAGATTAGCACAGGCAATCAGATCGATCGGGCCGACGTCGCCCTCAAGAGGCCTGAAGAGCAGAATAATCTCTGACCTGCAACTGCACAGCACACGTACTTTAATAAAAAGAAAAGAAGCCACTCACTCTTGACCCCGGTCAACCCTTTCGCAGCCACACATATTTTATTACAGAAAATAAATATGTGCGCGGTTAAGGCAAGGAGAAAACAAACAAACTGTTGAACACAAAATCTTTGACCTGTATTTAGCTTGAACCAGGCCTGTCTATCTTGGACGTCCCGTCCGAAAACCAAGGAATTCCGCACCAGCATTTCCCCACTGTTCTACTCCCTCCGTTCCAAAATAGATGACCCAACTTTGTACCAACTTTAGTACAGTACTAATTAGAAACCCAGATGAGATGATCCAAGCAGGGAAAGTGAGCAGCGAAGGTGAAGCATTGCCTCGGTCGCAGGCAACGTAGGCTCCACTGACACCGACGTCCGCTTGCATTGAAACGGTAAAAGGCGAGCGAGCGCATCATCCATCATTCACAGCCTCAGCAATGGAGTGCCGGAGTAGGGACAAAAAAGCTCACCAAGATGTCCACTAGCCGTGACTTTCCACAGCAAATTCCAAAAGGGTGTGACACACCGCACCACATATCTCCAAGTATCCTTTTCCGTCCGGCCGTCGGTGTCGCTGAACGCAGAAAACCGTGTTGAATTGTTCCAAAGCCTTGAACTTCTTTCCTCCTCTGTTTTTTTTTTCCTTGTGTTGACGAGCAGGAATTCAAGGTGGAAAAATCATTACACAAAGACTAATACTAAAACAAAACAAAATAACATAAAATATACTGTAATAATAATGGTTTTGATGAAAGTGGTTCCACTTTTTTAGGTGCGTTGCATTTGGCTCCATGTTGGTTGACACCATATATAAGAGGAAAACAAGGGTAAAGGAAGTTGCCTTCGATTTCAACGTCTTCGTGTGCCTCTTCGCCGGAAGCAACCTTGGAACCCTCCAGGAAAACAGCTCGAAAAGAATTAATTCTCTCCTGCAAAAGATGAACTGATTATAGGCTGCTGAAACACACATTATTTTTTGTGCTGCAGAATAAAACATGTAGGGACTAGTGTTGGTGTGTCTCACTGTCACAAGCCACAGCCATAGACTGGAGACTGGACTGCCCGCTGCTGAAAATCAAGAAAGGGACGCCCTGCAGCAGCATCCACATCACGTAGAATCTAGACCGTTTCCCCTGCCATCCTGCCGAGCCGTTTCCCCTGCCATCCTGCCGAGGCCGCTGTCCATCTCATCTCGGCCAGTCAAGTCCATGCCCCTGCGTCGCTTCTGTTCATGCCAAAAAAACGCAGTGCAGCCACTCACCTGGCACCACGGGCGCAAAAGCAGCGGAGGAGGAAGAAGATGGCCATGGCAGCTTGCGCTACTTTGAAGCGGTCCAAGTCTTGGGCGATGCGCACTTCTCATGCCCACTGTGGCCTCGATGGTCAGTGCCGTGAGCGATGATGACGAAGATGGTCGCCTTTTGGTTGTGGGCAAACAAGACCTGTTGGAACAAGTTAGTGCTGGATAATATTTCTTTCAACTGGAGAATTTTGGGACATGATAGGATAGCTTACCTTTGTGTGCCACCATGACGCCTTGTCTCACGAAAGGAAACAAGGAGTGAAGCTTCCCCAGCACTGCAGTTATTAGCACAAAAAGGTAGTGCAATCTATGATTTCTTCGCCCTGCAGTTATTAGCAAAAGAAGATACAATCCAGGCTTATAGCAATATGTATCAATTATCATGTAACTATGTAAGACAAAAAGAAATGGAAAACAGACAACTGTTTTTATTCTGGGCTGACAGCCCCAAACTTTCTTTATGACAGAGGACTCGGGGATGGCGCATATTTGGCACGTATAGCTGGACTCGACCCGCACCATCACCGCTTATTTATCTTTCTATATAGTAGGTAACCTCAGCAAAGTCCAAGCCAGAATGTCAAGTCTGCACAGTTTGACAGTATTGCTACTAGTAGCAATAGCAGGAGTATTACAAGGACGTCGGTACACGGTTCTGATCAAGCGTTGATATGGTGCTTATTTGTTGTCTTTGTCGGGTTCCGGAAGACAAAGTTAATTCCCTTCTTGCTGGAGTCACCTCCTGTAGACGCCTTTTAGGAACCAGAAGTCGCCTCACCATCTGCTGCGTCTTTGACGTGAGTAGCTTCAACATCGATGTACCCGAGAGCAGTTTTGCCCCAAGAAGCAGCTCCTTCACCCTTGGGCTTTTCCGCTTTTTCCTCGACGCGATAGTAAGCCTGGCAAGAGAGCAGTTTGTGAGGTTGTGC